GCTGGGAATACGTAAATCACCCTTCCTGTCACAATGCAGTCAGATATGGTTATTCCTGGTTCTGATAGCAGAAAGAGAAGGAATATTAAAAGTCTTTATTTAGTTAACTCAGGAAGTTGAATGCATGCTGTATAGAAAAGAAAATTTAAATTCCAGGTTTTGCCCTTTAACTCTTCTGACAGGTGCCAAGGTACAATTGTCCTTACAAAATGCTTTCAGCTTAATGCTTGTGTACTGTGTTTTATTAAAATGCAAAACAGGTCACCCTTTTTTTAGTACCAACTGATATTTATTTCATCAGATTCCATACATTTCAAGCCCTGTATTCAGACCTTCATAGGGCATAAATAAAATCTCTCCAGATGCTAGTGGGCCATTCAGATCTCTAGTACAAATCTGACTATACAGTACGCCCATACTGATTTAGCAGGGGTTTTTTTCCCTGTTAATGGTCTGTAATTGTACGTATTTCATATTTTTCCTATACTTCCTGTATTTGGCCTATACTGTTTCTCAAGCAAGTTTGGATACAACTGTCTTTTAATAGGTCTGAATAGAGGGATTTCACTTTGTGTGTCTATCCTAGCACGTGCTTATGTTTACTTCAGTGTAATCTGATCACTGGACATTTGGGGCTTTTTTAAAGTTAAATGGAAGAGCTAGAGTCTGCATGAAATGAAGCCCCATAGCATTAACATTTAAAGCTAACAATAATGTAAAGTGCAAAGTACAGTTTTGCAACGACATAGAGCATTCATTCTGAATAAGTCTACTTACTTTTTCTGCATGACGTCATATTTAAAAGCTAAATTTCAGTAGCAACGTTTTTTGGTGACAATTCAATATTTTGTTCTTTTTGTGGGTGTTCTGTTTGTTTGCAGTCAGATGAGTGAGCCTCATAGCGGTTTGACGCTCAAATGTGCCAAGTGTGGAGTAGTTTCAACAACAGCTTTGTCAGCCACCACCGCCAGTAATGCCATGTTAGTCCTGATCATTTACATCTTCTTGTTACAAATCTTATACAGTGCATGTGAGACAATAGTTTGATGATGACAACTGTGTTTGCTAACACTGTATAGAGTGCTGAGCACATTTAAATACTTTTTAACAAAAAAAAAAATTGCAACTGTGTTTATTAACTGAATACAGGATATTCTTTAGAACATAAAATACCGACACTGTTACATACTTCTTTGTGTTTTTCAAGTTAACTTGATAAAGTGTCATTCTTAAATATGTTTTATTTTCATAGTGAACTTTTAATAATTTTTTACAATATTACAATGCTGCTTTTCTCTTTTTTTCAATAGGGCATCCCTTTGGAGTTCCTGTGTGGTGTTGCCACTTCTGGCCCTGACTTGGATGTCTGCAGTTCTGGCCATGACAGACAAAAGATCAATATTATTTCAGATACTTTTTGCAGTATTTGATTCATTACAAGGCTTTGTTATTGTCATGGTCCATTGTATTCTCCGAAGGGAGGTGAGAAATGGCTTCCCAGTTTTCTAAAGGGCTGTGCTCCTGTTCATCTCTCAACTGCTCTTTAATGTTATATACAGCTTGCTCTGCAGAAATATATTTCGTAGAAAGAGAATAGTATTTTATGGTGAGATGTAGAGGAACAGGTGAAAGACAGAGGGGTAAGATCAGTTAATTCCAGGTGCAGAACATCAGCTTCAGAATAAAACTCTACCCACTAAATTAAAGATGGCTTTTAAGCAAAGTTCAGTTTATTTTTAAGTGTTAGGCTTTCCCAAAATTGTGAGTATAGGGAAATGCTAATATGAATGCCCTTTTCCTGAAGACCAAAATCTATAGATTTTTGCAGTCCCTAAAACTGATTCAGACACAAAATGAGTTCTGTTTCTACTGCCCCTGAAAGAGGACACAAGGAGATGAGGTGTTATGTTGGTGAAGATCTACCCTTTCAGTTCTACAAACTCGGGTACATACTTAAGGTAACATACCTTACAGAAGTTACAGGGACAATGAGGATGAAGACAGATGAATGCTTTGAGAACGACAAGGGAAAGCTAGTATCCCGGCCTGCCCTTCGCAGCTCGGTGCCACCCACAGCAGAATTCATCACCACTGAAATCTGATGTCAAAGCTACAACACAAGTGGTCTTTAACCTGGCTCTGGTGACAGTTCCTCTAACCTATCTAACCTGCTAACTAATCCTATCTTTTTATAGAGATAGGTTTGAGAGTAGTAACACAACACTTTTGCTGGCAGATCTGTGGTAGTGGAACCACCTATCAAAAACGAGCAGGTGGACCCAGACTGGAGAGCAGTACCCTGCTCCACCGGCGTACCTATGCATTAGCCTTGATCAGCTTCAGGATATTTACCACACCGATAAACCAAATTACACTGTCTAGCATGGTTCCTCGTAATTGGCAAGAGTTATTCAAAAGCACTTCAGGACCAAAAAACCAGGAAGAAGTTTCAAGAAAGGTTTATTGTCAATGCTGAGTGAGGAATCTCACACAGTGGTTTCCTTTCCCACCAGTCACACTCTCTAAACATTGAAACTCACTATATTCATGAAAAAGAATTATGAATGACATAACTTATTTCAATCATTCAGTACTGTACCATTTTACACAAACATTCTATCACTATCCTACACAGTATGCATATGTGATTATCTTATTAAAGAATTAAGTTTTAAATTTTTAAGGAAAAAAACTAATATCTTGAAGAAATTAGTACTTTCCATTAGCTGACCTCCTTTAATACCTTTTTCTTTTCTTTTTTCCTTTTTTTTTTTCCTTTTTTTTTTGTTCAGGGTAAAAATATGTGCAGAATAAGATATAACACTCCAGACAAAATGATTTTTTGTAGAACCATCTTGCCATTCCCCTATTTTCTACAGCATTTTCTTTCCCCATAAGATTTACATCTGTGAGAGTACTGTCATCTGTAGACCTGAAAGCCATCATTTCACATATTCTTTTAGTAAAATGGTAAGACACTGCAGCTATTTTCAGTAGAAAAAAAATGGCAGTTTCATACTGCTTTTCCTGTCTATGAAATTTGTATTTCCATTGGGATATATTAACTAGCCTGGAAAGTGCATACCACCTCCCACTTACTGTCCTGAGGAACAATTTTTATTTTAAAATATATATCTTTAGCTCAAGGTTGCAGACGAAACCTTCAAAAACAAAGCAATATAAACAGTATTATTTTTCACAGAATATCTCAAGTTAGAAAGGACCTATAAACATCATTATGTCCAACACCCTGCTCCTTGCAGGACTACCTAAAACTAAACTATATGACTAAGGGCATCGTCCAGATGTTCCTTGAACTCTGACAGGTTTGATGCCATGACTACTTCCCTCAGGAGCCTGTTCCAGTGATTGATCACCATCTCAATTAAAAATCTTATCCTAATGTCCAGTCTGAACTTCTCCTGATGCAGCTTTGTTCTGTCCTAATTCCATTTCCTCATGTCCCTTGTGAGGATGCAGAGAGGTTGCAACATACACCTGTTATCAGTCATTGATTTCATCAAAAACCAGACCAAAATCCATGAGAAATTCTAAAGGTAACGTAACGTAGCACTGTATAAATCAAAAAAATTCAGACATTAAAGCTTGCCTCAGTGCACTGATGCAGGAGTTTATTTGGAAAAAAAAAACATTTTGACTGCTTAAGTTGAATTGAACAGGCATCTTCTCATAATGCCCCAGGCCTTGAATTGGAGGGAGGTTCCCTACTCTAATGACAGCTATTTGCTGCAAATGCTTCATTCCCAGGGAATGCTTTGGTAATCCTGAACATCTCATGGAAACGTTCTTGTCTGACCCTGCTCACAGGTAGGACTGTGGTGATAGAGGTGGAATTAGTCTTTTCTATAAGTAAACTCAGTTTTTAAACTTGTAGGGTACCTTGACTTGAACTACTTTTGACTCACAGGTTCTAGTGCAAGCAATATGCAAAAAAATACGCTTATAAAGGTGTTTATACAGGAATTTAGAATCTTAACTGTTTGTGTGTAGGCAATCAGCTAGTTATGATTTTTTTTTTTTGCTGCTTTTTTAGCAAATCACATATACATATCTGACTGCAAAGGATCATTACTTCATTTAACTACTTAAAGGTGTTGTTCCTACAAACCAGTCTCAGCAGTTACACCTCCTTGTCCTAACACTGAAATTCTATAAGACATTTAATAAAACAGCTAATCAATCTATCTACATGTTATTTTAAAAAATTACTTCATGAGAAAATTCCCTAGTGAGGCCCAAAAAGCACCTAGGTTTGATAAGGTTGTCCCTTGTCAAAAAAGAGAAGGAGTTATTTATACAGCCATGACAACGTAGGCAGAAGTACAGAGATAACATTCACTAATCAGTAGGTTACCTCCAGTCAAGATGATGATAGTGCTGGTGGTGGAAGACAAAGAAGCCTAGGCATATTGCTGTTTGAACTCTATTTGACAGAACAAATTAAATCTTCTTTAGTCCTCCAGATTTGATTTGTAAACTGAGTAAAACACCTGAGGAACTAATTAAGGTAATTTTTTTTCACATGGGAAAAGAAAATGAGTAGAAAGTTCTTCAAGAACAGCAAAGTAGTAAAAGTTGATGCACTTGAAACAATTTGTGTTTCAAAAATATGTATGGTCTGCACTTATATGGACCAGTTTGCAGCAGCAAAGATGTAATTGTTTACTGCAACAAGTTCCTAGACAGAAAGAGACATAACTCCAGTAAGTTCTGTTTCAGTCTGGCTCTAGAGAGTCTGCCTTTCTAGCCTCAGGGACCCTTAGGTGAGCACAAGCCAAGACAGTGGCCATCCTACACAGTGTGCAATGCAGTCTTTGCACTGCACAGGGTACCTCCCCAGCTTAAAGAATAGTCTCTTACTTTCTGTTGTCTGCAAACGCATTTTGCTCTGCCAGTGCCTGTCAGGGAAACCCTGCCAACATATCTGTCACTCTTGATGACAGCTACAAAGCTATCCCAGTTATAGCCTGTAGGATCGATCTAATATTTATAGCATGCCAGCACAGGCAAAACAATAATTCTGACTGTCAGGAAAAAAAATATGGGGTGGAATATATCACCACAAAATTCAAATAAAGAAGAGGACAGGCCTGTTTTACTATGCCTTTATTGTTGTTACATTATAAAAAGTCACAGACTTTTACAATTATATATATAAAACCCCCATTTTTCCTCTTAGTTATGTTGATATGAACACAAATGATAGAAACATTTTCTCTAGTATGCAATATTGAAGATCTTGTGTGACAAGGGCTGCATTAGGAAGCCAGGGGTGTTCGCTGAGACATACAACTAGAAGAGAACTAAGTGATGTGTTGTGTCTATTTCTGCCCTCCATCAATTCAGGGCCTTTTGCAAAGATATTGAATCTTTCTATACTTCCATTTTCTAACTTCTAAGATAAATATAATACTTCTTAAGCATGAGACCTCTTATAGACCATTTGGAAATTTGGAAAGAAAAATGCAAAGTGAGACTTAGGTCTTATTTCTTTATGTTGCCTTCTTAGCCCAGAATACTTAGTATTTTTTTCCCTCTGCTTGCTGTTTAAATACCTAATAGGGCATTGGAAGATGGTGAGGTATGTGTCACAGAACAGAAAATTATAGGAGAGGTTAGTGCTGAAGCTTCTCTGTCAGAGCAAAACAGTTTGCCTGAGCTGCTTGAACACGAGATGTTCTAAAGCTAATTTGAAGCACACTGAGTAACTCCTGTTAATGCTGGTGACGGGAGGAACCCACATGTATTTTCTTCTTTTGCTGTGCTCTGCTGACTAGAGAGCATTTGGATTAAATGCATCGTTGGCGTCTAAAGCCCACATTTCTGTACTGCAGGAGAAAAATAAAGAGTGTGTGAGTAGGGAGGGGGTAAGTTATAAAAGCGTGGAGTTGGTTACTGTTGCTAAGGAAACCTCTTCCCTGGTATCCGCACGTTCATCACATCTCTCTCTCCTGCTCTGCCTGAGTAAAAAAATCTTGTAACTTGATGTTAAAGGGGGCAGGGGCAAACAAGATATGTTTCAAAGTAAAACATAAAGACAGCACAGTCTTTACATACTCAAACAGGAAGTTTAAACAAGCAGTTTAGAAAAAAAAAGCTGATATTTGGAAAGTTCAACCTTTTTGTTTCTGATTTGTGTGAGGACACCTAGAAGTTGCAACATACATCAGTATGATGGATACAGCTACGTTTGACATTCTCTTAACATGTTCAAATCATATGCTGCTTGCACTTCAGAAACTTTGTAAGAAAACTGCACATTTAGGAGGATCTCAACATGAAGATTCACCGCTTTAATATAGAAGGTAGGG